AGAGAGAGAGAGAGAGAGAGAGAGAGAGAGAGAGAGAGAGAGAGAGAGAGAGAGAGAGAGAGAGAGAGAGAAGTCGAAAGTGGTCAATAAATCACACGAACGCTTTTCTAAACCTATTGGATTTTGAGATATTTGAGAAATTATTCAGTGAAATTTTGAAATGCTAAACTTAGACGGGTTCTTTCAAGTCTTCTTAATTGTATAGTTTCGAGAGCTACAAGAAAGTTTTTCTGCAAAATTCTCTCAAACTCATTCGTTTTCGCGCTGAATCAACATTTAAAGAAACTAGAAATCAATTAATTACACTTCACCCTTCAATTACTCCCCCATCACGTGATTCTTGACCCTCAACTCTTCAAAAATCTCCTACAAAAATGATTTCTATTATTAGAAAAAGACACCAAGCAACAATGAAAGGAATTCAACAACACGGTAGGGTAAAATCACATAAACATGAAATAAGCAAATAAAAAATATAAAATATTCATTTTTTACACATTGAATAATGAAAAATATATACAATTTTGCATAATTAATAAACAACTAAATCATAAAATAATATAATCATACAAAAATTTTGGGTAGTCTACAAATCAGTCTTCGAATTAAAAATTATTTCGATCCTTTCTTTACTTTATTTAATAAGTGAAAAAAAACAATAAAAAACAAACGAATGGTAATAAATAAATGAGCAGTTGAGACGATGTTCAATGAAGTTTTAAAAAACAAAAGGCACTTAATGTTGCTCCTATTGGAACAGGGACACGTCCCTCACCTTTGTTGCACACTCAAAACAGGTGGTGACAACCTTCGATATAACATTCATTAAATTTTTCGTTTCCTGTATGACATTATCCACTTTAGTGAATGTCGCTGCTTTTCCAACTGTTGGATTTTTAACAGTGAATTGGAGTTGTTGGACATAAGTGGGCACTCGGTCTAAATTTTCGAGAAGATCTTTTTTATGAGTCCCACCTGGTACCTAAATAATTACAAAAAAAGAATTTGAATAATAAAAACCTTTCAGAAATTTTTTGAAGTCTGCTAAATTTTTATTTTTATCTAAAAAATGCAAAAGCTAGAAATGATTGATAATTAGTGAAATCTTCAATTAGAAGCATCAGTTAAGATGTATTTTGCAAGAAAATACCTTATTTTCAATTAATTTCATTTTAGAAAGCTAAAATCCTTTTTCAACTAATTTTAAAGCCATTAGAGCAGAAAAGAACTTAGTTGCGTGATTTTACGTCGAAAATTCTCCTGACACTCGACCGAGGCTATTTTAAAGTCCTCAAAAATCCCAAGCTCAATCTCAAGAATATGGAGAAAATTGTGAATCGTTCATTCACATACCTGGTAACTGAATTGCCTGACGACTTTGTACAATCTGTTAGCCTCTTCAGCGAAGTATTCAGCCTGCGTGAAGAGATCCTGGGTAGTCTTAAGTGCACCTTCACCACGTGTAAACTGGTACATGGAGAAGGCCATGGAAGACATATTTTTTGCCCTTTTCACAATATCGTTATTTTCCTCTAGAACAGAACCACTTTCCTGCCATTTCTCAGTCTCTGCGTCCATTTCAGATGTTATTAGCTTCATTTCTAGTCCAGCTTTTGCAATTTTTGCTTGTTCCTCGCTGTCTAAACGGACTGGTTTTAATGGTTTACTTGTTGTTCCGTGTTTCTGAATATGATTGAATGAAAAGATGATTTCAATATTTAAGGCAAATTTCAAGGGAATATTATGTTTACTTCGAATTTTGAAGGCACTTACACCTGGCCGAGGTAGAGACATGTAGACTTGCTTTTCTGGTCTGCTCTGACTCAATTCTAATACATCTTTAGCTACTGTTGTCACGTCTGACATTAGCCACTGCCACATATCAGCAAAAACTGGGAGAAGACAGTTCATTAGATATTAGGAAACAGATGAATTCATTCAAATTCTGTCGTTAATATTTCGATTTGTCATGATGAAATAACGTATTTGAAACAGTGATATTCATCCTTTATTGACTATTATCTGAATTAGTTTCATTTTCCGCCCAAAAAAATTATTTTCAAATTCCAATTTTCTCAAAAAGATTAAAAATGAATTTCAAATCGTGAAAATGATCTGTTAATTTTCCAATATTCATATTGTTCAAATAATTCTTATTGGTGATTCGGACATTCAAGATTATTTTCAATCAAACCTTGTGGATTTTGAAAAGCTTTATAATAGTCCCATTTTTCATATCTTCTATCATTTTTCACTATTTGAAAAATTCCAAAAATCTTCGAAAAACTTCAAGAATCCTTTTTAACCCCAAAAGATGTTTTTGAGAATTGATGAAAATTCTGTCATTAAGGTCCGGGTGTACTATCTTTCGAATGTTATCTGGATTTTTTTTATCTTTCGTAATCCAAAATTGTCAATTGAGTGGTACATTATGTAGAAATTTCCAAAACTTATGATAGAATGAGAAAAAAAATAGAAAAAATTCTGTACTTCTTCAAAGAGCGTTTTTAATTGAGATTCAGAAAGAGTTGAAAAAAGTGGTAATTACAAATATCTGATTCGCTGTGGGAAATTATCTATTAGCTGTCATTTTTCATCGTGGATAACTGTTAGGCACTGAATATTGAAATTATTTTAATTCTCTGGAGTTGTAAATTCCAGATGTCTGAACCTACAGACACAAGATCAGGCTAACTGCTGCACGCCGAATAGGTTCTTTATGCAGCTGATTAAAAAGGGGCATTTTCGAATGATTGGAGTGAGTGAAGATGTGATGGGTATATACTGGGAGACTTGGATAAATCGGATGTATACACCTTCAGTTTTCACAATTTTCTGTTTATTCGAGAATAACGATATATTTTTATACCGTGATTTCTGCTAGATGTGACTAGTCAGAGATTTGAATTTTAACTAACTAATAATTTTTGAGTACGAGGCTTATATGCTAAACGGTGGTGGTAATGCCGAGCGAATCAGAGGAAGGTAACAATATTTGCGATTGGTGGAAATGAGGTAGGAGGTGTGGTTTAGTTTGCATCGGGGGAAAACTTGGGGCCTTCCTTGAGTTGAGGGAGAGGTTGGCAGAGGGGAGGGTTATGACTATGTGGGTCCGATGACGTACTTGGAACCCGCTGTGAGAGATGATGAATAGGAGGGGTCGAGTGGTACGAGAGGATTATTGAACATATTTTCAATGACTATTGTGACTGAACTCATAAAACCTAAAATGTGGAGTTTGGTTGAATAAATAGAGTATTGAACGAAAGCATTATCAAAATTGTCTAGACGAAGGGTATTTCCCAGTCGAGTTTCGCGAGAATTAGTTCTAGACTTGAGAAAACAGTAATAAAATAATTTGAAGAGCAGCTGCACTGAGGATTAAGAATAATAATTGAATATATTTCGATTACTATGAGTCTAGACGCCGGGGAAATACGTGTCTTTGCATCAATTATTTCCTTCGAAATAACATTTGGGAAATTTAAAAATGAATGGAAAATAATTAATAATACCGAAATTGTAGTTTCGCGTGTATGACACGCAACAATAACAAAACACTAACTCCTCATGGGAAGTGATAGCTAGGTATCTCAATTTTCAAAACTGTGGTATGTAGTCATCTGCCATTTTTATGTGATAAAGGTGTGATTAAAATTTTTTCCATAATATTACAATTTTTTTCAAAGAGCCTTTTCCGTAATAAATGTCTCTGTGCAATGTGGGAAAAGATTTACGAAATCAGTCTTCCCCCTGCATGATATTGGGTGACAGGCCAATATCATGCATTGGGTCATTTGTCACCGTAAATCAGGTACATTTTTCAATTTCTTGTTATTCAACTTATTCTGAATATAAATTAAAAATTCTCTTTGAAAAAATGAAGAATTTTTTCTACTTTTTTTTTATTATTGATTCATAATTTTTCAAAACTTCTGCATGATCTAGGACTTAATTGATAATTTCAAATGACGAGAGATGAAAAAAAACATCGAGATAACGTTCGAAAGATAGTACATCCGGGCCTTAAAATAAAAATAAAGAGAAATGTCACTCTACCTTCAAGATTTTCCTTAGCAATTTTGCTCGTTGGATATCTCGCTAGTGTATGTGCAGCTGTTACCACTTGTGGTCCATAAATCCTGAGATTAATCTCCGTGAACTTAGCCGAGACCTGCAGTGACTCTGATAGAGCAATATGCCTAAGTAGTTTGCATACTTCGAGAATATGCTCGAGATACTCGTGAAAGCGATCACTGCTCTCCTGGAGTCGATCAATTTCGCTGGCAAGGGCCAAATTTCTGATTGTGGCGACCAGTTCCTGTCCAGCTTTGGTCACTTGACCGAGATCACCAGCTTGTTCCATTGTGGTCGTAACTAATTGCTGTCTGAGGTCCCTAGTGGCTCTGAGAACACCTAGGACTGCCTGTTCCAGTTCGAAATTCGGAGATCCAGGGGCATTATCAAAATTTTGCTGAAATTAAATTGATTTTTCAACTAATTTATGCTAAAATATTTCCCATAGTTTCACGAAATAGAATCAGTGAATGAAAAAATCCAAGGACGGTTTTAAATACCATGCTGTTTCCAACTCTCAACAACGTATTGAGCTCAAGTTTCGCTCGATCACAGAGAAGTAAAATATTCTCTCTATGCTCATGACTCGTGTAAGCACTATCAGTGAAGTCTTGCGTCCTTTCCACTACAGTATCCAATGCTGATGTTAACGTATCCCTACATCCAGGGACCATTAGCGTCATCCTAGTCGTTTCCACCAGACGTTCAAAGTGCTTTAAGGCTGAGCAAACAGTGCTACTATCCCAATCCTGCTGCTGAGGGTTCTAGAAAGAATTGACCGGATTTTATATCATAATGGCATTGGCATGCCTTTTATGCAGCAAGCCATCAATTTATCCATTAGAACTTTCCCTTTAACTACTTCTCAGATAACTCCTGTAGAAGGATGTGATTACCTCTTTTGATCGAAGAGATGGAGATAATTTCTGAACTGGTAGTTTTAAGAGTAGAGTAAGTTATCGACAATTGGGTGCCATTTGTAAAATAAATTAGAATCGTGAATTTTTTCCTGAAAGGGAAGTTGAGAAATATGAAGGTTGAGGAATGCTTCATTCCATCCCATATTTCACTCAATTCAATTACCCAATAGCGGAATAAACTGTCTCATGATCTCATTGTCTCATTGTCATTGTCTGATTAGGTAAACCTTTCTCATGATTTATCATTGCTTACCCCATGAGATCCCAATTGCTAAGAACATCTCTTGAGCAACTTCAGTAATGTTTAATGTTTCCACTAATTACCCACATGGAAAAAATATATATAGGGGAGCGTGGGGTAATATGGACACCTGGAGTAAAATGGACACCCGTCAAATTCGTATTTGAGTGGGGTAAAATGGACACTTGGAATTTTTTTTTCAAAATTCAAATTTTTTAAAACTGTTACGGGGCAAAATGGACACTTGATCAATGGCTGTATGAGTGGGGTAAAATGGACACTTGGAAATTTCCGATTTTTTTTTCAAAATTTCAAATTTTTTAAAGCTATTTCGGGGCAAAATTGACACTTGATGAATTTGTATATGGGTGGAAGAAATGGACACTCACGAAATTTTTGGAATATTTTTTTTTCACAATTCAAACTTTTGAAAACTGCTGTGAGGCCAAATGAGTACCTGATAAATCTGTATATGGGTGAGGTAAAATGTATCCTCAAAAATTTTCCTTGAACTGCTTCTTGGCAAGATGAACACCCGAAAAATTTAGTTCCATTCAAAAGTCAAGAAAATCTCTGATGAAATAAATGTGTTGAAGAAACTTTCTCAAAAGCTTTCGTAGATTTGTATTTTTTGAGGAGAAAATAAAGGGAAATATTCCTTAGCATTTTACAACATAATCGTGTGGATATTTCTTTATAGAGAGAGAGTAGGGTTGGGAAAAAAATCAATAAGTAAACTTCGTCAACTCTTTTGAATTTCAAATTGAAGTTTGCATGATAGAGTGGCAATGGATTTCTTTTTTTTTAGTATTGGAATAATGTGGAAGTAGTATTTTATTTGAAAAACTGGGTAAATTACAAGAAATTATAATAAATGAGAAGAATACACAGAATTTAAATGGATATGGGATTATTAGATCTTGAATAATTAACATTTGTCGCAGATGAAGTCGGGGTCCTCGTCATCTGATGAAATGTCAGCACATGAAGTATGACACCAATTGTGGCATTTCTCACACTCGATCCACCGCTCGGTTGACTCGGAGTAGAGGCCTTCGGAATAGATACAAACTGTATCACTCTCATCTTCAACTTCTAGAACCTTCTTTTGCTTCTTCTTAGGCAGACTGTATTTTGTTCTCGCGCTTTTTCCTTTGCTCTTCTGATTTTTCTTAGATTGACACATCTTCTTCTCCTCTATCTCACTCGCTCCTTTCTTCTTAGCCTCCAACGCAGACAGATATTCCTCGCCTGTAAGAACCACGGTCTTCTCCCTAGTACGTCTCTTCCGTGTCGATTGATCTCGAGCAATAGGAACAAGCTCCAGTGCTGATGGTGTAACTTGAAAGGGACGATTCTGTTCCACCTTCTTCTTAATCAATTTTCCTTTAAATTCTGAGTTGAGTGGAGTCTGTTGCGAGCCTGTATCGCCATCCTCCGATTAACTCTCTGAACTTGCCCTCCCCTGATTGATTACATGATGCTCCAAGTGTGCCTTTCGCTTTGGTCTTGTAGGCGGTAACTCTTCAACATTAGCATGTGATGGTCCCGGCATTATTGCCTCATCAGTTCTAATATCGTCTTCCACAGAATGGCCCGATTCTGAATTGGTTGGAGATGAATCTTCCTTGTGCTGGGGTATAGAAGTCGATGGGTTGAAGTCATCTTCACCCCTTTCCTCATTTGGATCATTGGAAGAAGGTGGTGAGTCCCCTGGTTATCACCTTCAAGATGGGGGGATGGAGTTTCTGATAGTGGGCGATCAGTCATTTCTGCTGCGCGGAAGTCAGCGTCGCTGAATACTTCCCTGTTGTACGGATAGATTCCAGTCTTTCTGAACGCATTTGAAATGGTCGATGGGGTTGCTGCACGTTGGAGAGCTGATCGAATCAACGAACAGATGGAGTACTCTGTCATTACTCGTCCTGGATTTTGCCTCATCCAGCGGTTAATTTCCTGAGTGTAATATGCTGACAGAGGTTTCATGACACCAACATCGAGGGGCTGAGCAGCGATGGGTGCAATGAGGTGGGAAACATTCTAGGACTATATGTTTGATGCCTGCGAATTGGATCATTCCTAAATTTTGGGAATGACTGGCATGGCCATCCATGAGGAGAAGTACAGGGCTCTCAGCCGTTGGTTTGACTGTTTTCACAAACCACTTAAACCATTGGAGGCATAAATCAGCAGTCATCCACCCACTCTGGTTGGCCATTCCCCAGGAACCTTCCAATCCTCCAATTTAGAATTGGGAATTCATGTTTACTCTAGGAAACACAAACGCTGGTGGCAAACATTTTCCATCTGCTGAAATGCAAAGCTCCACGGTGACCCAGCTTCCCTCGGTCACTAGACACTGCTTTATCCACTTGTTTTTTCCCCTTTGTTGCAACAATTTTTGATAATTGTTTCGGATTCACTGTGAATCCAATCTCATCGACATTCAAGATCCGTGAAGGGGGAAATAACTTTTCTATGCCTGCTGTTCCCATTCCAAGGGTAAGTTGTTGATACAGCAAATCGAAATAGTTACCAACAAGGACCTTATTGAAGCACATAGCTCGTGCGATCGACGTTGCCTGAGGTTTCCTTATTGATAATGTACCATTTCTTTGGAGAAACCCTCTCAGTCAATCCTCTCCAGCAATGCCATTGATGAAGGCGTGCTGGATTCCATTCTTCTCGGCAATTTGATAAGCGAGTAGACGTACTTCGTAAGTGGTGAGTCCGGCTAGGCATTCCGCCTTCTCTTGTAAATAAACTGCCAATTCCACTTCCTGAATGGCAGAGAAGACAGTTGTACGACTTCCCATCCCTAGATTTAGCAAGAATTGATTCAGTTAATAGGGTGATACTAGACAGGAGATATTGGGTTTTTTTGTTGTGGCGGAGTCATTTTTTGAGTATTCATCGTGAAAGCTTTAAAATTATCGAATTTCTCAATGAGTTTGTTGGGAATGGCTAAAGGATTAAAGTTTCCATGATTAAAAAATCAGGAGTGCACAACGTGTCTTTGATCTGCAAAACGTCTCCTTCTCATTGTTACACAATAGAACCATTGGAAAATCATAATTACAGTAATTTTGAAAGTCTCGTAGTATTAAAACTAACGACGACGAAAATAAAATGAAATAAATCAATTTTTGATAGTCATAAACCGCAATCATTATCGTGAAAATTGATTGAAGCTATAAGTGAATCGAAGAGTAGTAAGCAATGATTCTTCTTCACCATTCCCCATTTTGATTTTCTTTTATTCTTCTGAGTATCGAGGTCTTCCTTCGTTCGATCATCTACTCATTGTTACAGTCTTCTATTGTAATTTGTGATCTTACCCCTTTCGAATACACACATGCGGTGGAAATTACATGAAAGTGACAGTTTTTTCATCTTGATAGTCTCTTACCTTTGATGAGAACTATGTTATATTCAAAATTTCATTCCCCTAAAATAACCAAACATTAAACGACTCTCAGTATTCCCAACACCGAAGGAATGCTGTATCAGCACACAGTGCATCGCTCCCGCAAATTTCAACACGTTCAACGACCGATTTTGCGGCTATTTCCCAATCAAACCATAAAAGAATTTTCTGGAACTTCGTGGCTTTTGCCACAGGGTAAAAACTGCCACGAAGAACACCAGTCGTTAGCTAGAATTCGGAGATATAAGATCCAGCGGAAATAGCTCACGGAATCGATCGGATAGTATTCAACTCCGGTAGTAATTCGATAAATTAGTATCGATACGAAGTTTACGGTGACTGTTCGTGTGAAATTGGTCGGAAAAGTGCTCGTTGGTGCTGATCTGGGGACTGACCACTCTAAAATCGAGAGCAGCAGTTTTTCTTGCGCATAAAGGGACGAAATTAATAATTCAATTTATTAAATAGTGCTGATGTGCTCAATTCAAACTGTTAAAACTCTGTATCAACTTTTGTTACACTAGTGAGTGGAAGTTTATCTCAGTGCACGAGTATACACAAGCTTAGTGTCGAAAGTGCGAGAAAAGAACAGAAACTCACAACCAAAAATAGTTATCAAAAATAGTGATTCGAACTTGACTAGCAACGTAAGAACCGATTTGAATTTGGATAAAGTTTACATCGAGTGAGTACTTAATCCTTAAACTTAAAAATTGATAGGAGATTTTCTAGGGGAGACAGATTAGAAGATAAAATATTGTAACGATTTCTGTAATTTCCAATACTATCTTATTTTGAAGATTATACGTGAAAATTCCTCAAACATAAACAAATCTTTTGGTTATTTCGAGAACCTTTTTCCCTTCCTGGATATTCCTTAAAATCCTCCCTATATTTACTTGTCATTTGTAAAGAAAAAGGTAAGACTAATAAATGCAGTAAGCGTCGTCCTTCCCTTAAAAACTAAAACAAGATAAATTATAAATTCCGATAAATCTTGGACAATTTTAACAAATTGTTTGGAAATTAAAATCATTATTATTTTACCCGTTGTCCATCGACGCAGATAACGTCTCCGGACATAACAACTATATCCATATCAGGACATTGTACAACTCAATTCGACGACGTAGAGTGTTCCTCGATACGTTGTAATCCCTAGCTGCTGTCAACAGTGGTGACTTGTGGATTTCCACAGCTTCTATCGCTTTAGCCATTTGAAGTGGATCCCAGTTTTGACGCTCTGTCTTGCTTTTAAAATTCCTCATTTTCTGATAACTTATCGCCTTCTCAAAATCAATGTACAATTGCACACCCTACACAACTAACCTTTTGTCCTTTTGCAAAATTTCTAAGATGGCTGATTTTAAAAACTTTATCTATGAATTTACACTAGGGATAACTTCTTGCCGAGATGGAATTGAAAGTAACTTAACTACTAGCAAATTTAATCATGCTCCAGAAATACTTAATGAATCTTTTATAAATTTTTTAAATAAACATACTTTGTTCTTCGCTTCTTTGAATAAAAAACGCAGTTTATAGTATTCATCGAGTCTTGAAGCTTCCTATCTTTCATATTTTTCATTATTCTCAATCGAAATGTCATTTTGTAACATTAAAAAAACCCAAATGTCTATTTCACACCCTAAAAATGCTTCAAACATTCATTAAACTGAAATAAAATTTTAAAAAAATGTGGCGATTAGGTGTCTCTAGAGACACAATAATAACTCGTGGTTGTGGAATATAAAAACGTTGTATTTAATAACATCTTTGGCTTCCGAATGGATGCCGTGTTTGGATTCAGCGTCGCGCCGACGTTTCGCAAACATTGCAGTCTCCATCTTCACGGTTATGAGCTCCGATTCTGAGCTCCGATGTCTTGGGGTAGTCCTTATATGCCTTCCCTTGTGATGGTGGGGAAAGGGTAAGGGGGGGTGGTCAACCAATCATATGTTTTTAATTGACCATCTGATCAATTAAAAACATGATTGGCTGACCACCGCTCCCCCTTGCCCCACCACCACAAGGGAAGGCATATAAGGACTTCCCCAAGACATCGGAGCTCAGAATCGGAGCTCATAGCCTTCAAGATGCAGACTGCAATGTTTGCGAAACGTCGGCGCAATGCTGAATTCAAACGCGGCATCCATTCGGAAGCCAAAGATGTCATTAATCATGGCCGCGAAAGCCTCAAAACGTTGTATTTATCGCAGAGAGATATGTTTACATCGAATATATAAATCGGACTGAATTCAACTGAAATGACTGACTGACTGTGCCTTCGTCGGGGAGCGTGCGAGTTTGAATACCTTCTGTCATGGAAGGTTCGAGAACCGTCCAGAAATCTCATGAGGGGCAAGGACAGAATGATGCCCGTCTCGAATATGACGGTATAGAATATTCGAGATGCGTTAATTAAATTTCGAAATAATAATTCGTTTGTGGCTCACGCCACAAGTACTCTCCTTCTGCGGAAAAGAAAACGGAAACAAATAAATCAAAACGAAATGAAGAGAAAATAAATAATATTGATTGTCGAGAACGGCTAAAAAGGTTTGGTGATAACACAAAGAAGATAAAACGATGCAGTAGAAATGATGATCAACTGGACGTCATCTCGGAAGCGTGGGCGTCTCGGAAGCGTTGGACCAACTGGCGAGGCTGGCCGTCGAAGATGAAGCCGTTGGAGTCTGGTCGGAGTCGTGTCGACGTCGAAGACGATGATAGGCCGTTGCCGGGTGCCGTTATCAATATGTGTCGAGACGCAGGCGAGAAAGAGCGATGATGCGAACCTTGTAGTTTGTGACGGAGCTAGTACTGTACGAGTCTGACGTTGGTAGTGGCGAATCAGAAGCGCGTGCCGTTTGTGCCTGAACCTGATAGTGGCGAAGTGAGACAGCTAGAGCTCTGCATTGACGTGTGACGATAGCGAAGCCGTCGAAACCGGAGCCAGGTATATCGGAGTGAAATAAGCTGACTCATGGGCGAGAGACGGACGAAACCAGATTCCTACATGGGTAGCTGGCGGTGAACAGCATTCGATGGCGATGAGCATGATGGAGACGATGAAGACATATGCAGGACATGTTGAACGATCGGTCGTTAGCTTTTGCTGATCGTAGGCGATGCGGCGTCGGCGTGTCGTAATAGATGCATGTGAACCTTTAGAAATCAGCGAAGCAGGTAGATCGTGGGATGAGAGAAACGAACTCGATTCTGTAAAAATCTGTTGTCAAGTAGCCTGAGACCGTCGGAACAATGGAAGATCCTCAAGGTCAGCGTCGTTGCCTGCATGACGATGTCTCCATGTGTACATTTGATGAACCCAGCACTTTACGTGAGGTCGTTGATCCAGTTGTTGAGTCAATAAACACTTGATGTTAGATGTTGGCGACATCCTCCAAGCTTCGGAACGAAAGCGCAAACCGTCTTGTTGCTCTAGAATAGAAGTCTATTCGCTAGTCGAGGCCGCGAGGCATGGATGTCACGTTCTGTCCAGTGAAATTGTTGCCTCACGTCGTTATCAGTCGAAGTGGTACTGGTGGTAGTGGTAGTGGTAAGTGGTTCTGGTAAAATCGGTCGGAAAAGTTCACAAATTATTTTTCGTGGAGCACAACGTCCTTAGGTACTCAGCAATGCACAGAAATTCACAAAAACTCGTACGGAGCGCGTGAACGACACAACACACCAGCGTACGCGGCACACAAAACCACTCACAAAGTGCACGATGAAAATGCACTCGAAATTTTACGGAACAATCGCGACGTTAACGCGATATCATTTTATAATTAATGAAAAGGCGAAAACTATTCACTAAGATCACGTCGGGGTCACCAGTTGTGGCAGTTAGGTGAATAGAGACACAATAATAAGTCGTGGTTGTGGAATATAAAAGCGTTGTATTTATCGTAGAGAGATGTGTTTACATCGAATATATAAACCGGACTAAATTCAACTGAGATGACTGATTGACTGTGCCTTCGTCGGGGAGCGTGAGAGTTTAAATACCTTCTGTTATCGAAGGTTCGAGAACCGTCCAGAAATCTCGTGAGGGACAAGGACAGAATGATACCTGTCTCGAATATGACGGTATAGAATATTCCAGAAGCGTTAACTAAATTTCTAAATAATAATTCGTTTGTGGCTCGCGCCACAAAAAATCTTAGTATTAAAGCCGCTTCGAAATCATCTACAACACCAATTCTCTCTTTTAATGTTGAAAATTCACCAAGAAACATTGACAAATAAATCAACCAACATTTCAGAGCCACAAAAATTTACAGCGAGAATCGACTCAGAGTATAATCCATCCATAAAAGTTCGATTGCCCGTCTGAACTAAATGGATGAAGATAATCTGCGACATATCTAGAATTGAATCATCCCCACGAGTTACGTAGGGAAGCACTAATATAACATCTCAATCGGAAAAAATGTGACATTTTTATGTCTCAATGCGGCCCTCATCTCTTTTTACAACAGCAACAGAAGGTTCATAAAGGACTGCAGTTTACATCAGACTGGCTGTGGACCAATGGATAGTTACCGGTGGAAAGATAAAAAAATCAATGTCAAGTGGATAAGAGTAGAGTGATAAATACAGCTACAAACCTGAGAGTTTGAGTACGACTGTGATTCACTGCAGTCAAGTACACCATCCTTGACAACGTAGTGAATTAAATCCATAGCTCGTCTCATCTGACAGAATACAGTGTCACGGTTTTCTTTGGCTGATGGACACTCGGGATGCCTCAAGCAAGCTTTACTGGATGTTAGAAGCATCATTGTGCTCCGCTCAAGTACTTGCCGCGCCGCTGCCATCTGTGCTCTCCTCCTCTCGTCTTTTAGATCGTTCTGCAATTCAATTAATTGTCATTATTCGATTTTATGGTTTTGGGTCTATACGTTTGACGGTGGTTAGTAAGATATATTCATGGCTTTTTTTGGACGGTGAGAGACCGATGAAAGGGGATATTCAGATGTGGGAAATGAGAGAATTCTCTAATTTTTTATCCCTTTTTACATAGGGATAAAAAAATTGGAAAGTTCTGGAAATTTTTTTTTGGACCAAGGTATTGGAGAATTCTTTCAAGCATTTTATGGGTGACGAAAAGGTCTTTCAATATTTCTCTATTTTTTCAAAATAATCTGTAATATTTTCGGTATTGGTTATAATCTGGAGTTCTCAATTAATTTCTTTAAATTGATTAATTTAACACTCCATTAGTAGCGCAAAAGTTACAAACGCCGTGAATTTTGAGAGAAATCTTAAGAATTGTTTTATTTTTCATCCTCACCTGTCTGTCTCCAGTTAGATGAGCCAACTCGACCATCTCAGCTCCAAACTGACTGAATGCTTTCACGAATTCCGTAAAATTTGAGACACTCTCGAGTCTACCGAGACTGCGAGCCACTTTGTCTTTGGCGAGGAGTAGCTGTTTCACAACTACGATGTCAGCTAACAGTAGAACACGGGTTACTGAGCCCAGGAGGCAGCGGGCTGCTCGTACTACTGATCCCCTGTCGGCCAGGCTGTCTTCCATTGCACATTCGCATAATTTCTCTATTGTTGAACCTGAAGTGAATGGAATGTTGATTTTAATAAGGATTTTTTTGGTTTTATACATTCTTGCTTTCGAATGGAAGCATTGTTTTGGGTCGATTTTTCGATTTTCTAATTTTGATTGCAAATGTTCTAGAATGTTATGAAACGTGAAGACATGATGTTTTTAGGGTCATGTCTGTATGTATATATGTGTAGATTTGGGTTTTTGGTGATTAATTTTGAGAAAATTCAACATAAATACGGTGAAATTTTTAGATACAAATTTGAAATATTGGCTCATAGTAGCTATGAGCAAGCTCTACTTTGGTGCGTTGTTTCAGCCCGATCGGCTCAGTAGTTCCTGAGATATAATCACTTGTTTAAATTTCGTTTTTCCTCAATATCTCAACAACAACTGCACCGATTTCAATTTTTTTTTTCAAAATACTCGTCTCGGCGGCCACTATCTAGATCAATCAAAATATGTATACCCGTTCATACAAAGTTTCCGAGATATTCCCGTTTTTCTTTTTTTTCATTCTTGTGCGCACGATAACTTAAGACAAAAAGAAGAAATTTTTTTTTAATAAAATGATTTTATGCGTGGTAGAAAACATTGATGGTTTCTCATTCGAAGACACTTTCGAAAAATTGCCCAGGATATCTAAAATCTTTGAAAAAATTTAAAAAAAGTTGTTATATGTCAGGAACTATTGGGCCGATCGGGATAAAACAACGCACCAAAGTCATACATGCAGGCATGAACCTAAAGGTATCATTTCTTCACGTTTCATAACATTTCTAACCATTTACAATCAAAATTGGAAAAACGAAAATTCGACCAAAAAAAAATCTTTGTGCATATTTTATAAGAAAATGAGATATTAGTTGCAAATCATAGAGATAATCAGCAACATCAGATTTAGAAAATTATTAATAGACTCACTGATCAAGCAATCTCGAATCCAGCAATCTAATCTCTAATTTTCAAAGTTAAATTTCTTCAATATAAAGGTTTAGTTAATAATTTCCACATAGAAATAGAATTAATGTGGTTGCGTACGTATGCCTGTCTTAGGAACAGGGAAGTGGTACGGATCCATTCGGAAGCTATACTACCAATGGAATTGATGGAAATAAAAGAAACAAGAAGATTAATAAGACAAAAAGTAACGGTCGCATGCCTTATGTCGAATAGGCTTGAACCCCTGCTTGTTTATGAATACGTACAAAACGAAGTATACTTAAAATTTTGATGGCATTAGTCATTTTCCAATTATTCAATTATTTTTACTAACGAGAAAAAAAAATGTTTCTGCACTTTATAAGAAAATTGAAATATTTTCATGCATTTTTCCTTTGAAATGTTGGGGTTTTCATTATTCATATTGCATTGTTCATAAGAATATTGGTAAAAATGCTTGAAAAGCCAACATTCTACATCTATACTGAAATTCAGGGATTACTTTTAACAACTTTAAATGAAAAAATATTTGGTATATTTAGAAACATTAAACTAAAATTATTTGTTTTGAATTTTAAAGTAAATCCATTTGTTTCCACATATTTCCAAAAATACTATATGCGAATAGAATGTTCATTAGCTTTGATTTTTTTCGTTTTATACCCTCATTTTGTAGCTATTCAATTACCATTATCAATGAAAAAATTAGAAAAAATCTTTTTTCTGCATTTTTTGTTGTAAGTGTTGGTGTTTTGATTACTTTCCTTGCATTTCTCACTAGAATTATGGTAAAAATGCTCAAAGAGCCAATATTGTACGCATTTGCTCAAGTTTAGCGATAACTTTTAATAACAGATTTAAATGAAGAAATAGTTGAAATAATAAAATTTTATTCTGAATCCATTAATTTCCACTTACCAGCTATCCTTGCCTCTTTGCATGCTTCGTACATAGTCTGCTTGATTTCAGGATTGTCATCTGCGATTGTTTCTCCAACAGTAACAAATCTTTCGACGGCAAGATTGACCGCCTGTCCAACCCTCGCAACGGCTCGAAGACTCCGGTCGGAGCATAGTGGCCGTTCTCTGTGCGAGACGAGGGTGGAAATCTGCAGGCATAATCACCGATTCCGATTCAGAGAAAAACAACAAAATCCCCACCAGATGTTTTCATAATTCACAAATGAGTATTATTTACTCAAAAATTGTTGATTATGTGAAGTCACTTTGGACCCATATGATTGTGAGTTTGTGACTGTGCGTGTCTGAAGGCATTTTGTGAGATACCAGGGGGCTTAATGTGTGTAATTCATGATTTTCAGTATTTTCTTCGGTATTACGTCGCTGGAATAGGGTTTTTTTTCTAATGAAGAGATTTTATCCTCCTATGATTCATTGCCTAGGACTAGAGAAAGGAGTTTTGAGTGGTTAATTTTGTGTTTTGTCATCTTTCTGTTAATTAGAAAATTAAAATAAAGAGAAATGTGAAGGATTCTCCGTTTTTATTTCATATTATCGTGTTTTACTCTCAAGTTTAATCACTCATCTCTTTATTTTGATTTATTTTGTGATAATAACACAGACAATTGAACCCTAGACTCACATTCAACGAAACGATTAAGCCCTCGACCGTATTATTTGAAATAAAAAACATGAAATTCCCTTAAATTTGAGTTTTCAGTAAAATCACTCAGCAGTTACTTCTAAGCAGGTCAGTCAGCCATTGACACCAATCTAGCCATCCTAATGACGGCCTCATAACCATCTTCCCAAGTCCACTTGCATAAATGATTCAGCTAAAATAATTCAACTGTGAAGTGGTAAGTACGGAGAGATATTTGAAATAGTGAATATGGAGATGAAATTCTAAATTTCTCTGCAACTAGTGCAAAAATTGCAAAAAACATCTTTTTGAGAAAATTTAATTTTTGTGAAAAAATAGTTTCTGACATTTTTTAACCCAATAATTTCAGAGGTATTTGCATCAACAAAAAAAGTCAAGTGGTTGTAAATTGCATTAGGAATTAATTAATAAATATCTAGAAAACTATTAGGTTTACGATCATTTTTGTTTGAAATGTTGGAGTTTTACTATTTTTATTGCAGTTTTCTGCCGTGTTTATTGAAAGAAATTTAAGTCTCAAAAAACTGTATTTTACAATTGCGTCCTAAACCTGATAGTTCTCCAGGTGTTTGTAAGAAAGAAACGAATGAATTTTGAAATTTATTGTCAGATTCTTTTGCAAATCGTCTCAAGAGTTACAAAAAATCTTTTGACATTCTTTTCTGAACTCAATAATTTCCTAGATATTTGCAAAAATGGAAGAAAATGAATTTTTTCACACCTCTGCACGGAAAGTTCATACTTTCCTCCCTGATGAGCGGGAGGAAAGTGAGCACTTTCCGCCCTAGGGTGGAAAGTTGCTCCCAAGGGCGGAAAATCAAGACTTACTCATCCAAAAGCAAAATACGAATTTTTTCACACACCTGCACAGAAAGTTCGTACTTTGCTACCTGATGAGCGGGAGGAAAGTGAGTACTTTCCGCTCTAGGGTGGAAAGTTGCTCTCAAGGGCGGAAAGTCTTGACTTTCCGCCCGCTCATCAAAGAGCAAAATATGAACTTTCCTTTGCAGGCGTGTTAAAAAATAGCATGTGCACCTCGGGCGGAAAAACATGACTTTCCGCCCTTGATGCACAATATACTATGAATTTATATTATAGATTATTTTATATCTGTTTAAAAAATTAGTAGATTGATGAAAAAAGTCAACAATTTTTTTCTCGCGATTACCAAGAGCTACAAAAGAAAAATTTGCTGAGACTTCTTTATGACTTAATTCTGATAATTACTTATAATTTCATGAAATATCTACAAAAAAATTGTATCAAAACCTCTCTTACCACTTCACTCCAGAATTCCCAGTAAAATTATTTTAAAAAATTGTGCTCTAGAGCACAAAATTGTCCTCAACTAAAAAACCATGAAATTATTGCACAAAATATATTCCCCTCCCCTGAAAAACCAACAAACTTCTATAAACTAAACCGATAAAACTCATACCGACATAATAGACTCATTTATTCCCCTTCATTCCTTTATGTTCAAATCTCTCCATGAATCTTTATTTCAAAAGTGAGAGAACATGCACTATTGAGCGCAGAAACAAAGAACCATACCTGATGGTCAGTAGCCATTCCTCCTTCGTACATTTTGCAACTTGTTTTATTTAATATTTGTTTTTCTCTCTAGCCTCTGACAATATTCGAATGCTGTCCTTTTATTGAAAATGCAACGTTGTCTCCCTTCTCAGGATTTATCACTTGATAATAATTACAGTTCTATCAGTCTCAGGCAAAAAATGAAATGGCAATCAGTCAGTCACTTATCAATTATCAACGAGAGATGATTATCTCTTTCTATTAAACTGACAAATTATATTTATCTCTGAATTATTCTCCTCTGTTATTATTAATTAAAATAGACTCTCAATCGACAACATCATTTTTCTACGTAGATATGTGCATTCATAAACGTGTACTTCATCAGTTTTAATTATTTTACTATATTTTTCGTCGTTTAGTTTACAATCATCACTTTTATTTGATTCGGTGCCCTGCGATTGACGCAATTGTTTAACTAGTGTTGTTGATGTAAGCGTGAAGGGGAAAAATAGGCAATTTATTTTTCTGATAATTTTTGAGTTTATCAATTTATTGATTAATTTTTCACGATAATTATCCTCTTTAATATTGCTCTCTTGTCCTCTAGGTCTAGTTTTTTCTGATGTTGTGTATTTTGTCAACAGGTGCTATAGGCGTTCATTTATTCATTATATTTTATAGTGAATAAAAAAATTATTTAGCAACCAATGTGGAATTTTTTCTGGTAATTCTCAAGGCAATTTCTTTGTGATTGACTTGCAGCGATATATTCCACGTTTCTGACTTCTTCTCGCACAATTTCTCTTATATTTAGCGTGGTTTATCAACCATGCAATAAAGATTTGTTTTTTTTCTTTTATTTATACTGTCGTTGAGTGGTTTTCAGAGATCCTCTACTCTAGTAGAATAAAAAAATTTTTTTCTTCAAAAACATCAAGTTTATCTCGTGGTTTTCATTCATTAATTGATTTTTTTCCATGTGCCTGAAGTCTGTATTGTCAATGGATACCTGATGCTCCGACCTCATCTAACTCATCTATAAATTATTTCAAATCAGTTTGAGTCCACTGCATCCAGCAAGATAAATCTGCCCAGTGAAATTTCAACATAAATTGTCACTTTTAATTGTCGAATGATTGTTGGGGGCATTTAATCCTCTCGTCAAAAAATAGTTCATGAATTTTGAACATGTATTTCGGGTAAACAAGCCTCAGTGTCTCGGTTCTTCATTCTTTCAGTGAATTGTCATATCAAATTGCTATAATTTTCTGAACGATTATTGCCCTCAGATGTCTGAACTACACTCATGGCTATCACCAATGATATTCATCAATCAACATTCTGTTTCATCACTTGAAATGGTTATTCTCACTTTGAAAAAAGTTTAAAAAAAGTTTTAAAAAATGCAAAAAACGTCAATTTCAGAAAATAAAAATATGTCACAAACAAAGTTTTTTTCTGTTTTTTCAGTTTAATTGACTCGAAGAATCAAATCTAAAGCCGTCCGTTGCCGCATGATTATGATTAATTTAAGTATTGTGTTAATGAAATAGTTAACAACAATAATTGTATACTTTTCAAATAAATTGTACTAGGTACTGGCCTGCCGAGTGCCTAGGGAAGACTGAGGAAAACGAGAGCGGCGCCCCCGTAGCTGCACTAGGTAGGGAAGAACGGGAGGTGGGCGGGG